CATAGTCTAGGAATCTGCTTTTTTTTCTCAAGCCGCACTGTTGCGAGAGCTATCGCTTACACTTTCTTTACACAAAAGTTGCACAAATGTATCCATACATGCACTTAATATGTAAAATAAACATATACTTGTCAAGGTACAGAATGTGTTCGTTTGAAATGGATATTTTTTTTTTCACTTGTTTCAAATGTCTGAACTTTTATTGGAGTCGGACATCCACCAAAGCAAATGTATCACAAACATTTTTTATTCCCCCCTCCACCTTCTGTCTTCAAATTTTTATTGGATGCAAGCATTAGTAGTCATTTCTAGTCTTAGGTCACTGAGTGTGAAGAGCTGTATTAAGAGTTTGAAATATATTTTTGTAATATGTTATTTAATGTTTTGGAAAAAAAAAACAAATTCTGTAACTGTAGAATAAAAGTTAAAACTGATATCCTGAGCAATTTAGATTTTAGTTATCTTTTTGGGTTTTTTCTATAATTTTGTTTTTTACTTCGAATAAAACCCTGAACGGGTGGCAGAAGAATGTGTGCATTATACTGCCACACATAATGTTGCATGAACGTGACTTTCATAGCCTGTGAGAGTGGTTGTAACGCATTATGTAAGGGTAGTACTGAATGTACAGTGTTGCTGGCAATCTAAAGAAAAAAAAAAATGAAGGGGCATGCACACATTTAGGACAATATCAAGCCTTAATGATGCTTTGACCAACTTTTTGCCGCAATTGAGACAATTTCTCTTCCGATATTGTGCCTGTCCAATTGAAATACATTTTACACATTCATTTAAAGGGTATAGGCAGAGCACTAAAAATGATCGGTCCTTTCAAACTTTACAGAGTAGCCTTTCAATTCATCCTGTGTAAAATCTAGTTTTCTTAGGAGCTCCAACCTATTTTAGTTCTAAATCTCGTACTGCAGTAGAGATGGCCATGATGAGATCGGAACAGTTTTTTTTAATGAAAACTTGTCTGAGGTTGTAATTTTTCATTGATTTTTCATAGGCTAAAAACTGACTCCCTAGAAGGCCCCCCTTGTCCTGTCTGAGCTATAAATACCCGCGCCCCTCCCCCCAACACTTGTGTACAAAAGTGGGTAATTGGGGTTCGTACTAAAGCTGGCCATACACTGTAAAAATAAAAATTTCACCCCGTGGGCTGAACGAAGAAAATATTACCAATTCCTTCAACCCTTACGAGCGTTGATGGAGGAATCTTCCGCTGTCTTTATTGTATTCTGGCAGCTGGCTCTGTTCATTTGAAGATTTTCCGACTGACTCCTTCGATCAGCTGATTGTGGGATGCCGGCCAAAGAGTGCCAACAACGGCGCCCACTGTGTGAACTTTGGCTGGTTCATCAAAAACTGGATGAAATTTGCGTAGTGTATGGCCACCTTTTAGACTTTTCTAACCTACCATGACAGAAAACAGATGGAAGACCATCAATATTGCCTGTTGCATGAGATGAGACTTCCATTTTTAGAGAGCAATTCAAAATATGCTCTGGAGGAAACCGTAAATGTTAAGTATTCTAGAGCTCACAACATGTCCATTATGAGCAAGTGTTCTTAATTTTAAAAGCAATGCAGAAAATGTGAAATAAAGCAAATGGTGTGCCTACGCCTTGAGGGCAGCATATGTGTTCTAGTACACTGCCTGATCTGCAAAGCAGATTGGAGCAGTTGAGTAACAAACCCTTGTAGCCCATAGCAGTTTGGTATTTCATTAACTTGTTTCAGGGTTGTGATCAATCCCTGCACAGCTGTAATTCTTTGCAAGTAAGCTACCATATGTGCCATCTCTGATACCTAATGGCAACAAATTTTGGGTGTTGTTTCGAAGGACAGGCGAGATGATGGCTAAAGTATAGGCAGTTAATACCCAACTACATGACATTTGCGGCAAATTGAAATCTGAGGCAAAAAAATTATCGCCATCAAGTGTTTAAATCAGCGAGTTCCCTAAAATTAATATCTTTGTATACTTTCAGTTTTGTTTGCCACCAGTCATTGAGAGCTGGTACACGAACACAATGGAATCCCCCTATGATTTTGTGCAGGAGATTCACTATTCACGGTTTCATTTTGAGCATTGGGAGAAACTTGTCTTGTTCTGCACGTTAAGGGAAAATATTTTGCTTAACGATTACTAAGAGAAAAGTCTCAAGTGTGCGCATTGTTCCTTATGGCAGTATTTTGCATTTTTAAACATGTAGTTACTAAACTTGTCTTAAAACCTGTTGGCCCACGACTATTTTTTTTTTCTTCTCCCCCCTTTTTTAAAAAACTTACTGTGTAAGTATATTGTCATTCTGTTTTCGGTTTTGGCATAAAACCAGTTAAGCCGGCTCCTCCGTGTTTTTCGGTTTCACACGGACAAGGCTAGTAAATAGTCTTTGTATAAGCTGGAGAATGGTGGCATTTCAGAACGCCTCGTTTTGAAGTGCTAGAAGTTCAGCCATAATAATCAGAAGAAGATAAACAAAAGTGCATAACTTGCACTGGCTTGTCTTGCTCGTAAAATGCCATCAGCATTCTTTAGGGTTGGGTGGGGTTGTGTGAACCTCCTGTATATCTATGCCTATAAATTTTACTTAATGAGGAAACGTTTATCTGAAAAATCTTTGTAAGATTTTTGTAAAAAGAAATTTTGTTTTACAAGATTTTATTTGAAAATTGTTTTGCAAGATTGTTATATTTCTGTATGAATGTATTTTTTATTGGAATAACATAAAAAAAAAGGATTCCTATCAGATTTCTTGTCTTTGGTTTTTATTTGTGTTTCATAAATATGGTTTAATAACTATGGCTTTTCTTTAAAAGGTATTTGAATCCAAGAACAACCATTTTAATCCATTCCTTTTTTTATAAGGATTTCTTTTTTCCGCTTTACTTTCACCTTTCTCAGTCACACACTTGGATTCCAAAACTCACTGACTGTATTTTATCTCTGGAGGAGCAGCTTGACAAATCGTGCTGCTCTCCTGGTTTGGACCACAAACACCTACTTGTCCACCTCCTCTCCATTACATAGGGAAGAGGTGTCCTGTAGTACACAAAATATGGCTAGTAAAGCTGATAAAAAATTTCTGTATTGCAGAAAATAATTTTGTTTTGGAAATTGGATCTACCATAGGGATCCTTCACACTTCAGTAATGTACACTACACACGCTAGTGCATTACAGTGTCATTCATTTGCAAGGGCATGCCAACACACTAAGAAAACCCACGTTGTATGCAGCAGTATAGAAATGTGTGAAGGGGGGCCTTTAAACTGTGTGGTAACCTATAGCATCTAGTCTGATATGTTTTTGCATTGCCACCTTATGAAGGTGGATATCTGGTTACCTTGGGTACCTCACCTCCCTTTGCACTTATTAATCTTGAGCTTAATGTTTGGAGGTAAATTGGAGACATGCCTGCACGTAATGAATATACTCTTCATCAACTCAAATTAACTTCTGTCTTTGCTCTATACTTAAGCCTTTTATTAATGTGACTGCAGAATTTTTTTTTTTTTTTTTTTTCTAGGTTTGTATAGTTTAATTACCATCTTTTCTTTGCATTACATAACAATTTAAAAGCACAAACTATTATAAAGTGTGGTTTTGCTGATATCACTACATATCATAGAGCGCTTTGTCCATTGATAACTATTCTGCAAAGAGCCCATTCGCGCCCCTTGAATTTCTATAACTGCAGTCTGTAGGCATGCAACCTTTGTCACCCAACGTAATACCCCTCTTTTATGAGATGGCTGGATTTCTCACCAAATCAATGGGTATTTTTTTTTTGCACTTATCAAACAAATATAACCATACACTTTTAGTGATCTACTCAACAGACCAAATAAGGAAAGTCCATTGTTCGGGTTCACTTTAAGGAGCTTTGACAATATATGTAAATGCT